TAGAAAAAGTGGAAATACCCAGAATTCTGGAAAAGTTTTAAAAAATGTTAGAAGAAAGAATATCAATGATGGAATTAATGGAGGGAATTAAAAGACAAAAGAATGGGAAGACATTGGGTCCCAATGGATTTCCAGCAGAAGTATATAAAGCATTACATGATGTATTAAGCAATGTGATGCTACAAGTATATAATGCACTATTACTTAAAGCTAAGATTCCGGACACATGGTTGGAGGCATACACAACTTTAATACCAGCATGGAATATCCTACCTGCAACATAAGCAAGGCAAGTGGTCAGGCGCAGGTAGTCAAGACATGTAAATTAATCGTATGGGATGAATGCACCATGGCTCACAAGAAAGCTCTCAAGGCCCTTGACGTCACTATGAGAGGACAACTTTATGTTGCTTGCTCAAGGGTGGAGTCACCCATGAATTTATTTATTTTTGCTTCTGCAGGTGAAACTAAAAAAATTGTTTATAATTGTCACTGCGTTTTTTGTATTTACCAGCTGAGTTCATATTTCTGGACTTTAAGACTTTCCGTAGCTTGCCAAACTTCTTATCAGTAACTGACACTACGCATGTCCGCATTCCTTTCTTTCTACTTCACACTTTTCTTTGTTCTCTTGCCAAAAGAAGTCTGGCTGCTGAGAGGTAGCCGGCAGGAATGTTGCCAAAATGTAATTATTTTAGATAGTCAGATGTTTTTATTTTCTTTATAACAAATAAATGAGTTTTTTTCTTAGAAAAAATATCTTCGGGGTTTATTTTCTTACAAAGGTATACACAAGGAAAATGCCACGATCCACGTCTCTAAATCAAGGTGTGATTACCCAAAAGCAGAATGGATTAATCAGCGCCCTGACAATAATTAAGTTTTGTGTTAAATTAATATTATAGTGAATTTGTGAAACATTTCACTTTATAATTTGTATACTGTACTTATACTTTTAAAAATCTATAAATAAAATTAGTTTGATTTGACACTATAGCAGGGGTGGGTTCTATTTACCTTTACTACCGGTTTGCAGCGGGGCCTTGCATGCGCTCTTTTGTGCAAGTGCAGAAGCTTCTGCGCATGTGCAGAAGCGTTTTGATGATGTCGGGGTCGGTGAGCGGAGTCTCCCGCCGGTTTTACTACCGGTTCTATAGAACTGGTGCGAACTGGGGGCAACCCACCACTGCACTATACATATATTCCTTTTCCTGTCCTATACAGGATTGAGATAAATAAATACCCAGGCAACACCGGATTATCAGCTAGTTACATATAAATAGCAGATGAGGGGGTCTGAACCTCAGATTTCAGAAACGAGAAAGGGAGATTTCAGAAAGAAAAGGACAGATCCATTCTGTATTTTTATTAATCTAAAGTACATGGACGTGAAATAGAATTCAGTAAAACTACAATGTGTTTAGATCAGGGGTGTCAAACAGATGTTGTCACAGCAGCATCACCTGACGTATCATGATTTTCCCCCCTTCACTAAAGTGGGTGTGGGCGTGGCCAGCGCATAACGTATCTGGCCCATGGGCCGTGAGTTTGATAGCCCTGGTTTAGACCATCACAATTAATAATCTCTCTCTCTCTCTTTTTTTGGCCAATGCTCTTCCCTATTTGTTTTTTTCCCCCAGTTTGATAATCTTTAATCCAAGCCTGTATTTCTTTCAGTCCTGCCATTCATTGGAAGGTTTAACAAATGGCAAACATTAATCAGGAACAGAACAAACAACAGATATTACAGACAATATCTGTAATTTTTCCAAAGAGGAAATGATCGATCATCTATGACCTTGACTTTGTGATGGATTTGATGATTGTATTCCAATTCAATTTCTAGATCCTGTTTGGTTAGTCTTTCAGTTTGCAGAACTCTTGTGAAACCATCTCATTTTTTTTATTCTCATCAGAAATTTGCCACTGAAAGTTGGTCATTTCTCTGCCAAATTTCAATACTATGATTTTTTAAAAAATCCATTTCCTGGAACTTTGTAGGGAGAGTTGGTCTTAAATTAATGCCTTCTTTCTTTCTGGGAAATATATATACCCAAATAAGAAAGCTGGTTTTTTACCACATGTCAGAATGGATCAGCTGTCTTCTGTCTTTTCTTAAAAAAATAAAAAAAAAATCACGTTCTAGTTGAGCTGGTTTTCTGAATATAATGGATTCCACGCCTTGTTTCTCTTTAACTTATCTAAGGTAAAGGTAAAGGTTTCCCTTGCACAAATGTGCTAGTAGTTCCTGACTCTAGGGGGCGGTGCACATCTCCTTTTCTAAGCCAAGGAGCCAGTGCTGTCCGAAGACTTGTCCGTGGTCATGTGGCCGGCATGACTCAACACCGAAGGTGCACGGAACACCGTTACCTTCCCACCAAAGTGGTCCCTATTTTTCTACTTGCATTTTTTATGTGCTTTCGAACTGTCAGGTTGGCAAAAGCTGGGATAAGTAACATATTTATTTATATTTTATATTTGATTTGATTTGTATACCGCCCTGCTCCCGAAGGACTCAGGGCGGTGAACAGCCAACAATAAAATACATAAATACACAAAATTTAAAAAACCCGATAAAATCAAATTAAATTATTTGGCCCAGACAAATTAAAATACCCCAATAATTTAAAAACAGATTAAAATTTACATATTTAAAAAGGGAAGAGATTAGGCCAAGCCCGCTTGATGGAATAAAAAGGTCTTCACAGCACAGCGGAAGGAACGCAGATCCGGGATCCTCCGTATCTCCGGGGGGGAGCTCATTCCAGATGGTAGGTGCCCCCACAGAGAAGGCTCTCCCCCTAGGGGCCACCAGTCGACACTGTTTGGCTGACGGCACCCGGAGGAGTCCCTCTCTATGAGAGCGTACTGGCCGGTGGGAGGCTATTGGTGGTAGTAGGCGGTCCCGTAAATAACCAGGCCCTAAGCCATGGAGCGCTTTAAAGGTGGTAACCAGAACCTTGAAGCGCACCCGGAAGACCACTGGGAGCCAGTGCAGCTCGCGCAGGAGAGGTGTTACATGGGAGCGCCATGTCGCTCCCATTACCACCCGCTCGGCCGCACTCTGCGCCAGTTGGAGCCTCCGGTTGCTCCTCAAGGGGAGCCCCATGTAGAGAGCATTACAATAGTCCAGGCGGGAGGTGATGAAGGCATGAGTGACCGTGCGTAATGAGTCCCGATCCAGAAAGGGACTCAACTGGCGAATCAGGCGGGCCCGATAAAAAAACAGGAGCTCACTCCGTTACACGGCGCTAGGGATTTGAACAGCTGAACTGCCGACCTTTTGATCAACAAACTCAGCATCTTAGCCACTGAGCTACTGTGTCCCTTTACCTTATCATCAACAACATTCTACAATTGTTTGGATAAGAGAAGGAATATGAAATTTGGAAAAGCAGTTCTAGCATTTGAATTTGTGACCTGTTGACTTTCAACCCTTTGCTTTCTTTATGCATGTCAGAAGCACCTACAGATTATAGACATGTAACACTCAACACTAAGCAAATAAAATAGGTCATAGAAATATAGCACGTAAAAAGTATGTAGAATAAATAGTATTAAAATTAAGTGACGTTAGCCCAGGATTGGGCTATATCAACAGTGTATTCTCTCACTAGTATGAGGTCTTCTGTTGAAGGACATTGTATGCACTGTAGCATGTGTAAGATGGATTGTTCTTCACCACATTCACACAGGATACTTCTTCTATAGGAAAGCCCCATTTTCTTGGCTCAAAAGACAATCTAGAACCCTTTGAATGCTTGGAATAGATGGTTCCTGGTGGAGTCATCTTAGTTAATTAGTTAGGAGTTGGTGAATTGGACTCAACCGCTGGGAACAGTTGGACATATGTCAACCATCCCAACCACTCCCTAGGAATAATTCATAGCATCTTTTAGGCCATTCCAAATAAATTCTTGAGCCTCCCACTCTCCATCTTATTCCTTGTCTTCTTTCTCTTCTACTTCCTCTAACCTTGCCAATAGAATCATTTTTCCCCCTACTCCCGTGATGGCGTGATGGTGGTACATGTAGCCATATTGGTGGGCATGCAAGCTCAACTGATTTTCGGGCCTTCTGGGCCCACCAGAAGTAGGGAAACAGGCTGTTTCCTGCCTCCGGAGAGCTTCTGGGGGTGGTGGGGAAGGCCTGTTTTTCTCTCTCCCCAGCCTCCAGAGCCTTTCTAGGAGACTGGGGAGGGCAAAAATGACCTCCCCCCCCCGGAGGGCCTCTGGAGGCCGGAAATGGCCCATTTGCTGACTTCGGGTGCCAGGGTGGAGTGTGCGGGGGTTGTGCGCACATGTGCAGGGGCGGGGTGCATAGAATTATGGGTGTGAGTATGCACGCGCGTGACCCCCCCCCGCTCTTGGCACGCGATGACAAAAAGGTTAGCCATTACTGCCCTAGTCCATCATCTGCTCGCATTCCATGCCCAAACTCTGTGAGTTTCTGCTTACCGTTGATCACTTCAAAAATTAAAGTCAGACTTTATTTAGTCCAGGGCCCATTGATTGTTGATCAAATCATCCTGCAGTCTTTGGTTCCTTTTTGTAACACGAGAGGGTCATGAAAACAACATATACATCAATTTTATTTTTCCCATTTTGATGGACATTTTGGATGGGTAAATAATAGGGAAATAACTAGAAGGGTTGTATGTGGATGCTTCCAATATCTGCAAACTCTGTGAATCAGATAGGATGTTTACCCATTAAGAAATTCATTAGAGGTTTGTTTGACCACTCTATTGATCAAAGTACTTCCTCGCCCACCCCCACCCCAAATGGTACAGTTGTGATCTATTTGAGCTTCTTTTAAAATGGAAAATGTTTTTCCAACCCCTGTCATGTTCTGGAAAGATTTTACATTAAAAGCCGTAAGTAGTCCTGATAAGATGGTTGCTAAAATGTTAAAAAGACAGTTAAGTGATATTGGTTTGGTGGAATATAGCATTACACACATTATGTACAGTCTATTTAACTAGTAAAACGCCAATAATATTACATTAAGGAGACAGTTTAATAAGTGATTATCCAAACATGACAATTGCCAGTACATTATTTATTAGTTGTATTATCACAAACATTTCTCATGAACCCACATTTTTTAAAGTAGCCTCCAAACTACAACAAGCTGAATTAAATTACACGAGCAAGCAAACCTTGTAAAGCCTTGTAGTTTTTTTTTTGTTTGTTTTTTTGAATATCAGAGTGAATAAGGTCATTTTGCTCATGTTCTAAAGTTATAGGTGAATGTCATTTAGTACTTTGGAAATCTGTTCTTGCTAGCCGGTCAAACTCGGAGAGGGATGGTTGGATTAAAACTCACAGATGATTAATCGACTTTCATTGCAATTAATGTCATTCCATCGGCCATCCAGGTACAACTCTATGCAATCTTCTTGTTCTCCGTTAGGTTCGCCATCTGCCCATCGTGAGTATTGCATGGGGTCCCCATTGAGGTGCTTAAAATTACCTTCTGACTCCCGATCAGTCATCCCAAGAAATGTGTGTCTTCCAAGCTTTGAAGCCAGTTTTGCTAGGGCAGTGTTTTCCTCCGCATTTCTCGGAGAAGCAAGTTTTCCTTTAAATTTGGAGCAGGTGGCCTTGCTAGTTTCAAAATTGGCTTCAGCTCCATTAGATGCAAATTTTTTGGTTCCTATTAAGGTGAAGGTTGGGAAAGCAGCCCCTCGAACATCTAAGAAAGGAAATAACCAAAGTGAATTCTTTCTCGGCTGTTTTTCATGATGAGAACGCCCTTTTAGGACCCATCCTGAACTTTACATCAAATGAACTGAAGGAACATCAGAAGGTATCAGAGCAAAATATTCATAGAGGAGAAACTGTGTAGCTCAAGGTTAAAATGAGAGGACCTTGATGCTCTCTGAGCTTGGTTGTTTTCTTACAGATGTTTCATTACCAAAGTAATGAATAAAATCAGTGCATGATGATGATGTTACCGAGTTGGCAATGAAACATCTGCAAGAAAACAACCAAGCTCAGAGAGTACCAAAGACCCCTCAGAAGTATTTATGAAACTCTTTGCAAATATTCCTAATGAGACTGATCTGTCTTACCCAGCGGTGGGTTTCACATTTTGTTACCACTGGTTCGCCACGCGTGTGCATGCTCGCTTTGCGCGGGCCATGCATGTGCTTTGCTCGCATGTGCACCTTCCTCACATGCACCCGGCCTCAAAAATGTGCCTATATAGGACAGCATAGAGCCGGGGCGGGTGGCCGAGCACACCGGTGATCTCCTCTACCGGATCGTTCGAACTGGTCTGAACCAGCTGAATATCATCTTTGGTCTTACCTTCCTGATTCTTCCTTGTACTCTCTTTCAGGACCTTCAGCTCTTCCTGTAAATCACGAATCTGAGTTTTAAGAACGTCAAGCTCTAAAGGGTATGAAAGGAGACAATTATTCTTCACTTCTGTCAGAAACAAAAAGCAATGTCGGAAAGCTTCTTGGCTGGTGCCTAGTGTCAAATGTGACCCAGACTTATTGAGTTTAAACACAAGACTGCTCATACTTTGCATAGTATCAGTAGTTTGCTCCTCTTTAAGACCTAACTATAGGTGGTTAGGTGGTTGTAGTTAGGTGGTTAGATGTTAGTTTGATTGTTTCCCCCATGCATGAAACATGGTTGAAGCATTGTTTCAACATGCATGAAACAATAAAACAACCAACATCCAAAAACATAACACCAGAAGCAATACTCTCCGAAAACAACAATTACTGGGCTCCAGTCTCACCTGATCCCAATTTTTGAAAAGAAGAAACAGGTTTTTTTATGGCCTTAATAGAGTGCTATGGTGATCCATCCATGCAATCAGTTGACCTACCAAAGGCTTATTTGAGTGATCTACCCATATAAAAGACAGATAGAGGGAATATATGAAGTTTAAGCAGACCAGAAGATGGATAAGAAGAAGAGCTATAAATAGTGTCTTTATTCCAGTAAAGATTCAGTTACTCCCAATGATAGCTTGGAATGTTTTTCACCATACAAAGTGATGAGAGCATACAATCATTGCATATTCCTTTAATCTGCTACATAAAAACCAAAAGCCTCCTGTAAAATCTTGGCTCCTTACTACCTCTTACCTTTACCTGCACTATCTCCTTTTTCCCCTTTCAGTCCTTGATCCCCATTTGAGCCAGGAGGTCCAGCTTTTCCCGGGGGTCCCTGTATTCCTTTTAATCCTGCCAATGAAATAAAAAACGCACCAGAAGATAAGCGTAGAAACTGATGATCATCACAGCTAACATGAGCCACAAGATCAGAAGCGATGAAAGAGTTGCTCTAAATATATTGTGCAGGAAACATGGAACCCTCATTGGTCACCAAATAGAACATAGAATAATACGGTTGGAGGTGTTTTAGTCCAACCCCTCCTGCTCAAGCAGAAACCTTATACCTGTGATGGAGAACCTATGGCACCATATCACAGGTGGCACATGTAGCCATATATCAGTGGCCACATGAGCTCAGTTCTGGCATGCATAAGCGCATTGGCCAGCTGATTTTCGCACCTTCTGGGCCCACCAGACATAGGGAAGCAGGCTATTTCCTGTCTCCGGAGGGCCTGGGGGATGGTGGGGAAGGCCTGTTTTTCTTTCTCACCTGGCTCCAGACCTCTCTCTGAGTCTGGGAAGGGCGAAAATGGCTTTCCCCACCCCCCTTGAGGCCCTCCGGAGGCCAGAAATGGTCTGTTTCCCAACTTCCGGTTGGATAGGAAGTGACGTTTTTTGCTGTCCCCAGCCTCCAGAGCCTCTTTATCAGTCTCTGGAGGCTAGGGACAGCAAAAAAGGCCTCCGGAGGGCCTTCGGTGGTGGGGAGGCCTTTTTCACCGTCCCCAGACTCATAGAAGGGCTCTGGAGCCAGGTGAGGGAGAAAAACGGCCCTACCGGGCCATCGCATGCCAGGATTGTGGGGAGCAGGGGGGGTTGTGTGCACATGCGTGGGGGCAGGGCACATAGAATTATGGGTGTGGGCACCACACAGATGCACACGAACCCCCCACTCCTCCTTCTGGCACGCGATGGCAAAAACGTTAGCCATCACTGCCCTATACCATTCCAGAGAAATGTCTGTCCTGTCTCTTTTTGAAAACCTCCAGTGATGAAGTACCCACAACTTCTGGAGGCAAGCTATTCCACTGATTAATGGTTCTCACTGTCAGGAAATTTTCACTTAGTTCTAAATTGGATCTCTCCTTGATAAGTTTCCATCCATTACTTCTTTTCTTGAAATCAGGTGCTTTCCAGAATAGGTTGACCCCCTCTTCTCTGTGAAAGTTCTTCAAATATTGGAAGACTGCTGTCGTGTCACCCCTAGTCCTTCTCTTTGTTAGACTAGACCCGTGATGGCAAACCTATGGCACACATGCCAGAAGTGGCATGCAGAGCCATCTCTCCAGGCACACGAGCCGTTTCCCGTTACTCTTTCGGGTTCCAGTGCACCGGCCAGCTGGTCTTCATGCATGCAGGAGCACTGGAAACCAGAAAAGCAGCCGCCTTGTGCGCATACGTGTGCCAGGCAGCTGCTCTTTTAGTTTCCGGCATGCACACATGCATGCTCCCATTTTGGCACTCAGTGCCGAAAAGGTTCGCCAAAACTGGACTAAACATATCAATTGTTCATCGTACATAATGTAACCGTCCATTAAGAAGAACTTAAAAGTTCTTCTCTATGGGAGAAAAATGAATGAAAACTGTCTCTGGTGGCGAAGACCAGCATTTTAATCATCTTTACTTCCTCTTACAGGATGTAGAATTTATCAGTGAGTGATGGCTCTGATGGCCCTAATGTTTGTAGCAGGGGTGAAATCTACTTACCTTCCGTACCGATTTGGAAGCGCACGTGCGCGCGCACGCCTTCTGCGCATGTGCAGGAGGTAAAAAAAACATTACTTCCTGATTAAAACCAGGAAGTAATGATACCTGGGCCGGCGACCACTACCAGATCACCAAACCATGAGGAAAAATTGCTACCAGATCAGGCGATATGGTCCGATCCGGGAGCATTTCACCCCTGGTTTGTAGTCAACCTAGATCTAAGAAAAACTAAAGAATGGTTTGTGCTGTACCTGGGTCTCCTTTTGGCCCTGGAGGTCCTTCCTTCCCATCTCTTCCTGGTAAACCATTACTCCCTGGGGTTCCCGGCACTCCATTGAGGCCAGGAACCCCAGAGCAAATGTTGACTTTCTCTTCACATCTGCATTCCTCAGGATCTGACGGTTGCACCAGGGACACTCCCACAACCAGGGACATTCCCACAACCAGGGTGAAGAAAGCATGAAGCAGCATATCTTAAGAATGGGACCTAAAGAGGAAGAAAATAGTACATATTTAGTTTCCCCTTTTGTTTGGGATAAATAACATTCTGACATTTTGTGGTGTTTCAGTTGGTGGAACAAGGATTGGATGGCATTTCCCCTCCCCCCTTCACTTTCCCATTGATCAATTGGAGAGAAACCAGTACCTGGGTGATGGTGTCCCCCTATTCTTTTCTATGTTTTGAGGCAGAGGTAGGCTTCAAAAATGTTAGCAAAGGGTTCTCTGCCCAGTTGCTGGGTGGGCGTGGCCATGATGGGCACGGCCTAGTCGGTGTCCTGCACCATGGTGGGGTGGGGGGCATTTTGCCCTCCCCGGGTTCCGGAGGCTTTCTTCGAGACTCTGGGAGGGCAAAAATAGCCTCTCAAGGCTCTGGAGACACTCTCGAGGCCACCCGTTTCCAGCCTTTCCAAACTTCTGGTAGGCCCATTTTTTGCCCTCCCTGAACCTCCGCGGGTGCCCTGCACTTACCTGCATCCAAAATGGGCTGCGTGGGGACTCCTGGGAGGGGCGATGTGGGTGGGGCCAGCCAGGGGTTCTCCAAACTGCACAGAATCTTAGCTAGAGGTTCTCCTGAACCCCTGCGAACTTACAGCAGCCCACCCCTGTTTTGAGGTCATCAGAAGCAAAGAAGACTGTAGTTTGTTTTCATATTGTGTGAGAGACTGAAGAGTAGAAATTGTTTTAATGTCTACTCAAGCAGTTACTATTATATCACCTACAGCATTACAGGGCTTATCCTGATGTTACCTACAACATTTGTGCTTCATAGATTCTACATCATGGAACATTTATATTGTATATTATGTTTCATCACACAGTTGGCCAAATGTTCAGACTGGATTTAGTATTTCTATCTACTTATCGAGTCCTTCCCAAGGACCTGGGATGGGCTGCTGTAGATGTTTCCTGGTGTTACAGATATCGTTGCAGGATGTAAGCTGATCCAAGTCAAGCTGCCTTTTGCAATTGACTGAAGATAAACAGAGTTGTACAAGCAGATAAATTGTGGGCCTGTTTTGGCGGGGGAGGGGGATGATTATTATTCTTGGAATATATTGTTCAGTATTCAACTGGGAAGGGGCAATCTATGTGTATGTGGGGCTTTGTTTTTTTCCCTATGCACTTTTTAAATGTCTTCTTTTAGTTTTGCATTGTCCTTATGTGTTTTTTGTTTCTTTAATGTTCTGAATAAAATAAATAATAAATAATCATTAATCATTAATCATTAATCATAAAACATGTAACACTGATACCCATTGCCATTGGGGCACTTGGTACAATGTCCAAGAATTTTATAACATACACCAGCAAATTGCAGCTTCCTGCAATAACACCAGTGAAACTGCAAAAAACTGCGCTACTTGGAAAATCATACATCTTAAGAAGGTACTTGGTTGATACCTAGGACGCTGGCAGCAACCCGTATCAACCATTAGCACCAGTCAATGGTATTTGTGATGCATTTTTGAATGTTCAGTTGACTGAGCTTCATGTTTAATGAATAAAGATAATAATAATAATAATAATAATAATAATAATAACAACAACAACAACAACAACAACAACAACTCCAATAATAATAACTCCAGATGGAGTTAGACAATTTGGACAGAAAAACAAGGAAGCTTATGACAATGAATCATGCCTTGCACCCTAAAAGTGATGTTGACCGATTATATTTACCAAGAGCAGAGGATGGTCGAGGACTCCTACAAGTAAAGCAGACTGTGGAAGAAGAAAAATGCAGCTTGAATGATTACATCCAGAAAAGTGAAGAACCAATGATTAAGGAAGTAAATAAAGGAGGCCTTTTAAAGACAACTAAAACAAAAGCAGAATATAAGAAAGAAGTAATTGAGCAGCGAGCTGAAAATTGGAAACACAAAGCTCTGCATGGCCAATACTTGAAAAGTATTGAAGGCAAAGCTGACCAGAAACTAACTTGGAACTGGTTAAGATCAGGAGTACTGAAAAAAGAAACAGAAAGCTTTATTTTGGCAGCTCAAGAAGAAGCCCTAGCCACAAACTGCATGAAGGCAAAAATTCAACATGTTACCACCAACAGCAAATGCCGCCTTTGTAATGAGAAAGATGAGTCGACCACCTAATCAGTGGGTGCAGCAAAATTTCACAAACTGACTACCTACAACGCCATGACCGCGTTGCTAAGATCATTCACTGGAAATTGTGCCAGAAGTTTGGATTTGAGTACAGCAAAAACCACTGGGAACATCAGGTTGAGAAAGTTTTAGAGAATGAGAAACTCAAGATCTTGTGGGACTTTAGGATTCAGACTGACAGGCACTTGGTCCACAACACACCTGACATAACAATAGTTGAAAAGAAAAAAGTATGGTGCATTGACATTGCAATACCTGGTGATGCACGGATTGAAGATAAGCAGCAAGAAAAAATCACAAAGTACCGGGATTTGCAAATTGAAGTTGAGCAACTGAGGAAAAAGAAATTGTGTGTTGTCCCGATTGTAATTGGAGCCCTTGGAGCAATACCCAAAGGGCTACCCCGCTATTTAGAAATTCTAAATTTGCCGGACTTGAACATTTTGACTCTACAAAAAACCACTTTACTCGGAACAGCTTACATCCTCCGACGATACCTTGACAGTTCCTAGGTCCTTGGTTAGGACTCGAGCTGCTGAGCTATGAACCAGCCTCAAAGGCTGTGAATCTCACTAAAGATTAAATAATAATAATAATAATAATAATAATAATAATAATAATAATGAAAATTAAGGAACGGGACTGTGGGCCTACTACTACCACCATCACCCACAAGCAGTGTAACAATCCAGAAGACCCTGTTTGTTTCTACTAGAAAACAACAACAGCAAAAAGTGTCACCTTGTTTCTGAGAAAACCATTAAGCAAGTTCAACAGATAGTTGCATGTGCAAATATCTGATTTCTTCCATAGCGGCTGAATTAGTTAATCATCACCGTGGTGATGAAAGATAGAAAGTGTCATCACATACTGTATAACAGCATGGTACGCTGGTTTAACAGCCATGGACAGGAAGGCACTACAGAGAGTGATTAATTCAGTGCAAGAAACCATTGGTGAGAAGAAACCTGAGTGAGACCAACATCATTGGTCTCACTCAGGGGTGAGCTATAAAAATTTTAGCAAGTTTTTTTTTGCCTGGTTGCTGGGTGGGCGTGGCCATGGTGGGCGTGGCCTAGTCGGCCTCCTGCACCATGGTGGGGAGGGGGTGTTTTTGCCCTCCCTGGGCTCCGGAGGCTTTCCTCGAACCTCTGGGAGGGCAAAAACGGCTTCCCCAGGCTCCAGAGGTCCTCTGGAAGTCCTTCACCCTCCCTGAGCCTCCATGCACGCCCTGCACTTACCTGAATCTAAAACGGGCCACATGGGGACTCCCGGGAAGGGAGGGGTGGGGTCGGTAGGGCCAGCCAGGAGTGGGATTTGGGGGTTCTCCGAACTGAACAGAATCTTAGCTAGAGGTTCTCCCGAACCCCTGCAAACCCCCAGCAGCCCACCCCTGGTCTCACTGCTTCAGCAGAGCAAGGAAGATACCTAGGGATGATTCACAACCTGGCCAGGTATAATCTACGTTGTGCAATAATTTATATGGCAAGAACAAATTCAAATGGACTTTTGCACCTTTTGGAAGCAATAGATCCAGAACCGCTAGTCACAATATTGTTGGGCAATTACCTGGACTACGGCCAGCAGCTAGAAATCTCAGAAATTCACCTCCTCCCCATGAGATTTGGAAATTATTATTTTCTAAAGAAATTATTAGCACCATCATTCAGTGAACCAATGTAAAAATTAGAGAAGAAAGATTGAAGTTCAAGGATGGAGAAACAAAAAGTAACCTTTGATAGAGGATTTGATAGAGATCAATACATTTTTTTTTTTTGGTTTACTGCTTTATATATCAATTTTTAGATCCAACCATGAAAACATCAAATGTCTTTTTGCTACTGAGGTCATTATGACCTGATGACTGTAATAGCATAGTTGAAATAGTAGGTCTGTGGTTAAGAGTTAAAAGCAGCTTCTACCCATGGGGTGTCAGATTCCTAAACACAATATAGCACCACAAACAGATTTTTTTTTTTTAATTTGATTTATATGCCGCCCTTCTCCGAAGACTCAGGGCGGCTTACAATGTGCTCAGCAATTTCGCTGGTGCCATTGTAGTGTGTAATATGTACATACCATGATATAAGTTCATACACCAGAGTAATATCCATGTTGCACAGAATATGACGTACATATGGAAACGTATGACTAGTTTTTCCCCCCCTAACTACTTGTATAAGGATTATTCTTTATATTATTCATGTTGTCCTGTATTCTTTCTTATGGGCTGTATCGGTAGAGGCTAAAGCAATTTCGTTGTATACATGATGTACAATGACAATAAAGGCTTTGAACTTTGAACTCATGAAATTGTGCTGGAGCTGCAATGGTTGAGTTATCAACTCTTTGTACCTTTAAGCCTATCAGTGGTGGGTTCCTTCCGGTTCGGCCCGGTTCTCCCAAGCCGGTAGCAGTGATGATATGACATCACCGTACTGGTTCTGTACCCCCCGGCCCCCACCCCCTGCCCCCCAACCCCCGTGTTATTCTTACCTTTTATTTGGCCCCACCCCCAATCTATTGCTGCCTCCTGAGTCCCAGCTGATGGCTAGAGGGAAAAAAACCTGTTTAAACTCTTGCCCCGGGGCTTCAAAGGGCCGCCCTACAGCTGATCAGTGTTAAAAGAAAACAAATGAGTAGACCAGTGCCTGCAAAAATACATGAGTAGATCAGTGCCTGCAAAAATAAATGGGTAGACCAGTGCCTGCAAAAATACATGAGTAGATCAGTGCCTGCAAAAATAAATGGGTAGACGAGTGCCTGCAAAAAATAAATGGGTAGATCGGTACAGCTCTACAAGCAGTTAAAAGCCTGGTAGACCAGTATCTCTACTAAATCCTAAATAATTGTCACATGACCATCAAGCCATGCCCAGAAAATAAGCCACGCCCACAGAACCAATAGTAAAAAATTTTAGAACCCACCCCTGGAGCCTATATGGACTACTCAAGGTAGCATCAAAATATCAAATTTTCCTCTTGGCATGTTTTGTCTCTGCTCCAGTGGTGGAATTGAATTTTTTTTTTACTACCGGTTCTGTGGGCGTGGCTTGGTGGGCATGGCAGGGGAAGGATACTGCAAAATCTCCATTCCCACCCCACTCCAGGGGAAGGATACTGCAAAATCTCCATTCCCTCTCCACTCCTGGGGAAAGGATATTGCAAAATCTCCATTCCCTCTCCACTCCTGGGGGAAGGATATTGCAAAATCTCCATTCCCACCCCACTCCAGGGGAAGGATACTGCAAAATCTCCATTCCCTCCCCACTCCTGGGGGAAGGATATTGCAAAATCTCCATTCCCTCTCCACTCCTGGGGGAAGGATATTGCAAAATCTCCATTCCCTCCCCACTCCTGGGGGAAGGATATTGCAAAATCTCCATTCCCACCCAACTCTGGGACCAGCCAGAGGTGGTATTTGCCGGTTCTCCGAACTACTCAATGTTCCAGAACCTGCCAGAACCTGCTGAATTTCACCCCTGCTCTGCTCTGCTTTCTCTGTTTTTAGGCTATCTCTTTCTTCTTTTCTACTGGAGTAAATAAGTAGTCGCGCTGTCTGTCACAGCTTTCAATGACGTACCAAGCAATGATGCATTACTTTATCTTACTGTTTCAAATTTCATTTATTTCAGCTTGCTGCTTCAAATTTCCTTTAGTTTATCTTAATTCCTGCTTATGACTGGTTTCCTGTGTAACTCAAGATTTAATAAATCTCATTAATGCTGATTTTACTGTAAATTTAGCATCAACATTGATCCTTCGGGGTATCAATTATTCCAGAACAGCCAAACATAGGAACATAGCCCTATCAAAGCTTAAATTTGTTGCACTTGTAATCTATATAATATAGAATCATCTATTTATGAAATGATTCACAAATCCTTGTTGTTACACTACTAATTTAATGCAGAAGCTAAATATCTAGCCCATAATCAGTTCATACCTGCCACTTAGACTAAAACGGTTCAGGGTGCTGCTGTTTATTGAACTTGACTGCACCTCAGATACCAATTTGCTGATCCTACGTTTGTTTTATTTTTCAGAAGATTATCTGATCCTTTTGAGAACTGCTACAAAGGGATTGCTTTGTGGAATAATAAACATTTCACCATCTCGTGTTCACTGTGAATAAAAATGGGAAATGTGTAGTTTCAGAAACAGTGTTTTTGGCAAAAGAATTTGATATTTTTTTATTATTATTATTATTATTATTATTATTATTATTATTATTATTATTTATTTATTTATTTGATTTGATTTGTATGCCGCCCTATCTCCATAGGACTCAGGGCGGCTCACAACAATTAAAATCAAACCAGATAAAACATGTTAAAATACATATTAAACACATATTAAACATATTAAAATAATCCAAACCCCATCAGTCCAGGCTGGGCAATTTGAACAGCCATGTTTTTAATTCACGGGGGAAGGTGCGAAGGTCAGAAGCCAACCGGAACCCCAGGGGGAGTTGATTCCAAAGGGTGGGAGCCCCCACAGAGAAAGCCCTACTTCTGGGGGTCGCCAGCCGACATTGTCTAGCCGACGGCACCCTGAGTAGGCCCTCACTGTGAGAACGCACCAGACGATGGGGAGCTGTTGCTGGTTGCAGATGGTCTGACAAATATCCTGGGCCTAAGCCATGAAGGGCTTTATAGGGAATCACCAGCACCTTGAATCTCACCTGGAGGGCAACCGGCAACCAATGCAAATCGCGCAGGAGAGGTGTAACAACCTACGCGGCTGCATTCTGTACCAGCTGAAGCCTCCGAGTGGTCTTCAAGGGCAGCCCCAAGTAGAGAGCATTTAAGGGATTGTTTTCTTGTAGAATTTCATTACCCAACTAGGGTAAGGTGACCAGATTTTAACATTGGTAAAGAGGGACATTGTGGGTGTGGCTTATTTTGTGGGCGTGGCTAGCCGGTCATGTGACTGGGTGGCCATGGCTATGTGTATAGGGTAAGGTGAACAGATTTTAACATTGGTAAAAGGGACACCATTGTGGGCGTGGCTTATTGTGTGGGCGTGGCTAGCTGGTCATGTGACCGGGTGGCCATGGCTATGTGTATAGGGACTACTCAGAGGGCTGGAAAGTCATTTCTGACAGGTCCTCACACTTTTGACTGGTCCTCACACTTATGACCATCCTCACATTTATGCCCAAGATAGGGCAAAAACGTAAAATGTGAGGACAGTCGTAAGTTCGAGGACTGGTCAAAAGTGTGAGGACCAGTCAAAAATAACTTTTTCAGCCCTCTGAATAGTCCATATGCACAAAAGGACTAACCGGAGGGCTGAAAAAAGTCATTTCTGACAGGTCCTCGCACTTTTGACTGGTCCTCACACTTATGACCATCCTCACATTTATGCCCGTGCAGCATTCTTAACAACCATGTCACTCATTTCACAACTGCTTCTCTTCACCATGATGACAAGATAGGGCAAAAATGTAAAATGTGAGGACAGTCGTAAGTTCGAGGACTGGTCAAAAGTGTGAGGACCAGTCAAAAATAACTTTTTCAGCCCTCTGAGTAGTCCATATGCATAAAAGGATACAGTAATAGAGAGAGATGAAGGAAGGGAAGGGAAATTAGAGTAGGAGTGACGGTAAGAGAGGGAGGAAGAGAGGAGGAGAAGGAGAAAGGAAGAGGAAATAGGGAGGAGAAGAAGAGGGTGGGCAGAAGAGAAAGTAAGAAGGAAAGAAAAGAGAGGTGGTAGGTTTGAGGAGAAAGATTGCTGTACAATAAAAAAGATGAAAGGGAAGAAAGCCAACCCCAAACAAATATAAAGATATTAAGATAAAGAATGAATTGTTAAACTTTAAAGAATAAAAGAGAACAAATATGAATAAATAGCAATAATTAGAAACACACATACAAACATACAATGTATTTTCTTTGAACAGAATATTTGGCTGGTTCACAAATTTAAACAGTGTTTAGTCATTTCAATTAAATTTACAATTTCTATATTTCCTTTTTGCCATATTTATTCCTCATCTATTTTTTTTAAAAAAAACAATATTACCCTTCATCCTCATCTCTAATCTTAATCAAATTCAATGTTTCCCTTCTATTCTATATTATACCCCTTCCCATTGTCATCTATTTTTATATCCATCCTCACATTGGTTAATTATGTAATTATGTGATACAGTTGTTTAATACAAATTCAACATTTTAATATAAATCAATTAGTTATATAACTATCTTTTTTGTATATTAATCAATATGAACATGAATATTCCAATTATTTCTATGCAATCCAATTTCTTACAAATCAATTAATTATACTTACCAATAATAATAAACCAAATAATTTCCCCCATATATTCCTCCAAACCACAACTTAACCATTTCTGTTTTCAACACAGTATACAATTAACAGTATCTCAATTATTACAATTCCCTAGTTAAAAAGAGCTTTTTTTCCTTTTGTGTTTTAAAATCTTGAACTCTCCTCTTTTGCCCTAAATAATTTCCCATTGTTTTCACCTACCTTTTTTGATGAGGAAAAGGAAAATAAATCTGCTGCCTAATTTTCCAACGTTGCAAGCAAACAGCAAAGCCAACAGCCTGTTTTACTTTCAGTTTCGTTTTGAGCTTGGTTTGCACAAAGAGAAAAAAAAACTGCTGAGCAATTTAGCAAGAGCAGAGCCCTGCGCAAATCAGCTGAGAGGGGGAAGCCGAGCTAATCAACTAGGGCGGCCCTTTGAAGCCCCGCGGCAAGAGTTTAAACAGGTTTTTTTCCCTCTAGCCATCAGCTGGGACTCAGGAGGCAGCCGGGACTCAGGAGACAGAATGAAAAATCGGGACTTTTTTAAAACGCCGCGGGACGCGGGACAAATTGCTCAAAAGCAGGACTGTCCTGCCAAAAGCGGGACGTCTGGTCACCTTAAACTAGGGAACATCATCAGTGCTAGAAGGGAGAGGGGTTTGCGGGGGTGGGGGGTGGAGGAGGAGGAGGAGGAGGAGGAGGAGGAGGACTATAGTGTCCTTGGTGCTCTCTGAGCTTGGATGTTTTCTTGCAGACATTTCATTATCTAAACCAGTCTAGCACCAATGATATTACCCAGTTTGGATAATGAAACATTTGCCATTTCCTTTCAACCCTGAGCTAAATTTTTATAAATAAATAAAATTTTATAAATAAATTTTAAAAAACCCCTTTATTAATTTCATCTATTCCTTGCTGTGGCATTTTTCCTTTCCCCTTTCAGTTTATTCACCTGTTTCCTTGTCATGTTTTACTCACCTCCTCCGGATCTCCCCTCCCATTTTTACCCATCCAAAATAATTAAGATTCTGCTTCAGAAATCACAGAAAACAGATTAACAAGTAGAAGGCAACTTAACTGAGTTCGATACTGAAAAATAATTACTCACACAGCACTGAAAGAAACCGACTTTCCGTGTATGTGTTTCTCGGGAAGTGATTTTGCAAAATCTGATTCTTTCACTAATCGTTATCTGAAACAACAGGGGAAAAAAAATTGTTTGTTGTCTGACTTCACCCAGTTTTTTTTACCTGTGGTGGAAACTCCAATGGAATTCACTCTTTAATCCCAACTCGGTTTAAATATGTTGCAACCATTCGCAGAAGAAGAAAAGAACAAATGAAGCAAGAGTAATCTCAGGGAACAGCATTTTTTTTTTTTAAAAAAAGCAAATTAAGAAATCAACTTTTGCTTTAAACAAAGAACATCTGTGTTTTGCAAAATGTTACAACACAGGATAGGACAGAACAATTTTAAAATAATTTACTTGGGGAACTGGCAAAAAAGCTATACTGCAAAGAAGATTTTTAGAAAAGAAAAGAAATGAGTGCAAGAGAAGTTGGAAATAAGATATTAGACAATCACTCCAAGCATTGGGCCAGATCCCATGGATCTGGTGTCTATGAAATACCAAAAGTGCATCATTGTCTAGAGCAGGGTTTCTAGACTCTTGGATGGGGAAAAATTACAATTTTATTTCACTAATTTCTACATGAAATTTAGCTTTTTGTTCAGTCATAAATGTAGGCACTTTTGTTTTCAAAAAACATTTTATCGAACAAATATTTAAAAACACTGTAAAGAACAAAAAGGGAAAAAGAAACGGAGGAGCGAAATGGATATTTATTTATGTATTTTATTTATATCTTGCCTTTTTACAATTTTTACAAATAATTAAAGGCACATGAACACACATCAGGAGTGAAATTTACTTACCTTCCCTGCCGGTTCGCCAATGTGCACATGCTGCGCGCACGTTTGCTCTGCTTACACGCACCGTCATCTGTGCATTCACAGGCTTAAAATGTTGCCAAAAAGTGACATCACGACATCTGTGCAGGTGGGCGGAGCCTCCCGCAGCCATCGCTACCGGTTCGTCCGAGCCGGATAGAACTGGCTGAATTTCACCCCTGACACACAAATTATTCTTTCCTCTTCCTATTTTTCTGACAAGAACAACCCTGTGAGGTGAGTTGGCCTGAGAGAAAATGAGTGGCTCCCAAATCACCCAGCTGGCTTTCATGGCTAAGGCTGGACTAGAACTCACAATCACCTGGTTTCTAGCCTGGTGCCTTAGACATTAGGCCATTGGGCTCTACAAATATATAGATAAAGAGGGTTTACAATAGTGTGGGAATCAGGTCGCCATAGTATATGTGTAGATCGGCCTAGCTGTTTGGAACACATATGTGGAGCTTGGCTATTGAAGAAGAGTAAAATGGGAAAAGCGGGTTCAGCTAGATGATCACTGAAGGGCCCTATTCGTTCTCTCTTTGTTCATATAAACTGTGTAGCAATCCCTTTGAACTAACATTCCTGACAACTGAGGTAGATCTCTGGTAACAGGGCCTCTCAGTTGGCAGGTGATGGGATGCTGGGAACGAAGCCAAATATGATAACATAGCAAGAGTTAAGTTTTGTTTTTACCTTAGGTATCGCTTTCCTAGAATTCACGTGATTTACTGTAATATTGTAGAATGTGAAACCTATATGGAGAATATATGGATGCTTTCCTTTTTCATGTATGTAATATGAGATGTGTAGCCATAATAACGCCTTTTGATGACGCTGTACTTTGATTACTAATAAAAGAGATTGCAGGGCTTTGTTCTGCGCTCTCATCCCGAGAAACACTTGTCCTGTGTCTTCTCTAATCTGGACCTCTCATGGGAAGCCCACCAGGATGATCGCAACAAATAGCAATAGCACTTAGACTTATATACCACTTTACAGTGCTTTACAGCCCTCCCTAAGCGGTTTACAGAGTCAGCATAATTGCCCCCAACAATCTAGGTCCTCTTTTTACCGACCTCGGAAGGACGGAAGGCTGAGTCAACCTTGAGCTTGGTGAGATTTGAACTGCCAAATTGCAGACAGCCGACAGTCAGCAGAAGTAGCCTGCAGTACCGCACTCTAATCACTGTGCCACTAAGGTGCTAGAAACTGTATAAAATTGAACAAGACTAGTGAGAGTCACATTAATTATCCATAGTGGCAGAAAATAATGATGGCTTTTGTGAAAATCTAAAGCCGTGATGGCGAATCTATGGCATGCGTGCCACAGGTGGCATGCGAGCTCAGTTCCTGTGCACATGCGTGCGCTGGGCAGCTGATTTTTGGGTCTTCTGGGCCCACCAAAAGTAGGGAAACAGGCTGTTTCCTGCTTCCAGAAGGCCTGGGGGAGGGAAGTCCTGTTTTTCTTTCTCACTTGGCTCCAGGGCCTCTTTAGGAGTTTGGGGAGGGTGAAAACGGCCTTCCCCACACCCCAGAGGTCCTCCGGAGGCCAAAAACAGCCCATTTAACAACTTCCAGTGGGACCAGAAGGCCCGTTTTTTGCTGTCCCACAGGAAGTTGTCAAATGGGCCATTTTCAGCCTCCAGAGGACCTCCGGGGGTGGGGGGTGGGGAAGGCCGTTTTCACCCTCCCCAGACTCCTAGAGAAGCCCTGAAGTCAGGTGAGAAAGAAAAAAGGGTCTACCAGGCCATCGCATGCCAGAAGTGGGGAGAGTGGAGGGGGGTCATGCACACATGCGTGGTGGTGGGGCACATAGAATTATGGTTGTGGGCATATGCGCGTGACCCCCCTACCCCCCCTCCTGGCACGTGATGGCGAAAAGGTTAGCCATCACTTCCCTAAAGGAACACGATGTCTGATTAGGGAATCTCCAACTATGGAAAAGGTATATAATTTTTATTAAGAATTTTGATTATAATTAAAGATAGAAACTTGAATAGAAAGTAAAATGTGTAGGGAAAAAGAAAAAAGTTAATATAATAAAGAGGAAAGAAATATATAAAGAGGTGACTTTCAACCTCCATCACAAATATAAAGAAATGTATTAACTCTTTACTCTCTCTTCACATTTCTCTTTTCATCCCATATCCCATCTCTTGTGTATAAAGAAATTTATAAAACACCATCTTTCCTGGTGTGAGCGGAAAGTCCATAAGTGGTTGCCAGAAGTAACAATATGTCCTGTTTTAACCTTGATCAAATAAACCAACTTTACATTCTTTCCTTTTACTTCTAACAGCAGAGCATTAATCTAAGTTCGTTCAAATATTGTCATAGGATCTGATTTTTTTTTTTCATTTTTAATGTCCCATTGCACCCAGTTCTTTAAGGCTTTAACAATTTTTTTTTGACATTCCAAAAAGAAAAAAAAATATCCAGATTACTCTCTTGGTTTGTCATTTATACTTCCCTTTTAAATTTGAAAACCTCAGCTCGTTTTCCCCCCTCCCCGTCCCTCCCGTTGATCCAGTAAAAATCTTTTTCCAAGTCATTTTCTTGGCCTCCCAGTTGTAAATCCATTTTTGATACCATTTCCATCTCGTCAAATCTGTTCTACCTCTGTCATTTCTTCAACCACACATTTTGACATAGGTTATTCATAGGCACAGACAATGCTGAGATGGTGGATATTTTCTGAGTCTGTTCTTCAAATGTCTTCTTCTGTATTTTCATTTTTTGGGGGGTAGCATTTTGCAACATTGGACAGGCTTGTAAATCTTTCCTCTACCTAAAACTTTAGTGCATCCCCTCATCTAAAACTTTGGTTCTGAAAAGTTTAACTACCTCTCCTGGCATAACAGCTGGCTGGGGTAGCTACTTGCCTTGTGCAAAAGCATTGTGTGTTTCTGTGTGTCCTACTTTCAGCTGTGGAAAAGTTAGTGAAGTCAGCAAGATTTTACCCACTGACTCTCACTTTTACGCAAAATGCAGGGAAGTTTCCTCCATGTGAGCTTCAGGAAAAAAGCAACACCAGTGTGATGATGCTCTCGTCTCATGTGTTCCCCACTGGCTCCAGTTCTGTCAGAACATCTGCTGTTCACAGAGAAGGAGGGAAAGTAAAAATAAAACCAAATTGGGAGGAAGGAGATGAAGAGGCCATACTTTGTATCCCAAGATAACAAATTAATTTGATTACTCCAGGCTGTGAAAATGTGCGGGATCACACTTCTTTGATTCTCCTGTGAGCACCCTACCTCCCACTTACCCGACCTCCAGTGTAGTCACTGATAACAAGATCATTAGGGAGGGAGTTTGTTTAAAACTGGCCTCCTTTGTTTGCAAACAGAAACAATAACGATAACAGGGATGGGGGAGAAAAAAAGAAAAAGATGAAATTTAAGGATTTGGGATCAGAGCAGAAAGGGTGGAGAAAAAGACAAAGAAGCTCAAGAATTGGTCCGTGCCAGGTGGAGATGAACTGCATGGTTTTTGGCTGAGTTTTGCACTAGAGGTGGGATTTAGCCGGTTCTCTCCGGATCACGTGAACCTGATGCGGTGACTGCGGGAGGCTCCGCCCACCTACCCCACATAACACGTGACTACAGTGCATGCAAAGAAGGCTGTGCGTATGTGCAGAGGTGGCGTGTGTGAGCAAAGCAAGTGCGTGCGCATCCATGCTCATTTTTGCAAATCAGTAAGGAAGATAAGTGAATCCCACCTCTGGACTCTGCACCCATTCATTGCCAAGCAGTTTAACTGACAAGCCTGGCAGGCAACCCTGACATTAACAACACAAAAGAGCCTTGGTAGTACAGTGGTCTAAGGCACCCTGTTATTAAGCTGGTTATTAAGACCAGCTGCCTGCAATTACTGCAGGTTCGAATCTCACCAAGGCTCAAGGTTGACTCAGCCTTCCATCCTTTCTAAGGTAGGTAAATTGAGGACCCAGTTGTGGGGGCAATAAGCTGACTTTGTATAAAATATACAAAAGGATGAAGGCTATTGCTTAGCGCATTGTAAGCCGCCCTGAGTCTCCGGAGAAGGGCGGCATATAAATCAAATTAAAAAAAAATCAATGCAAGGAGGTGACATTGAAGATGGCTAAGCTCTGGCCGAACCTACCTGATAATGACAGGTCCAGCAAAAGGGGCATCACCAGGCAACTATACAGGTCAATTACCTGTCTACCAACAACTTTCAAATTGCTAACTGGTGTGGTAGCTGTTGCAGTCCAATAGCATCTAGTTGAAAGCAAGTTCTTTGCACCCAAGCAGAAAAGAGTAGCAA